CTGTCCTTAAACTGCCTCCTGAGGACCTTGGGGGCTGTCCTTAAACTGCCTCTTGATCAGCCAGATCAGTCAGACGTAAGGCTCGTTGCACGCAAGGGTAAATAAAGGGCAGTACTGGTTACAAGCGAGTTCCTGGGCACAGGGGTGGGCCGTTAATGCACACCTTAGTCACCGCTGTTCGATGATGAGGACAGGTACGTTGGATACAGGGGAAGGAAGATTCCAATTGGTGCTCAACTACAGCCGCAAGTATTACAAGGATAGGGCCCCATAAAACGCTTCCCCTGGGCCCAGGAAAAATGAGGCCCGCACGTCGGTTGGATGGGACAGACGTAGTGGCCCGTTCCGCACGTTTTTTTTTTTTGGCGGACGGGCGAGCCCACATTCCTTCGTTTTTTTTGGGGGGGCGCTTGGTACAGTTGGTGTTGGGGCGGCTTTATGAACGGTGTGAGGATTGAGCCCTCAAGTTGGGGCCTTGCCATGATGTACATGTTCAAGGCTAAGGCCCCAGCAAGCCTAGTGCCCGCCCTAAGTGAAGGCGGGCCAGCAAATCAACAAGAGCCCTCTATGCCAACATTTCACGAAGTGGGGTCTATACAGTTGCAGCACGCCAGTTGGTTGGAGTGCACCGAGTCTCGGATTTCAGCAAATGCTGAATGAGTTAGTTAGGCCCTGGGCACTCAAATGAGACCGACAATGCATGCTGGGTAGAGAGGCCGAAATGCCAAAGGGAAAATCGGCCCACTATCTGAATCTGGCCGCAGGCCTTGATGACAGAGGCGCAACTGCATTGCTCCGGGGCCCAACTGTATCGGGTAGGCTGCAGCCTCTGGGTCCCGGTCGCAGGCTGAAGGGAGGCCGCCCACACGCTGCATTGGCATATAGGCAAGCAGGGCGAGGCAGCAGGGATCTTGGCCATTGCGGGCAATGCCGGCACGCTGCGCAAATGCAAGCTGCTGGCTGCTGCGCTGCGCGAAGAGGTAGTGCAAGGCAGGCATGCGCTAGGCGGTAGGGCGCTGCCTGTGCACTGGGCGCTTGGCGGCCATTGCCGGGCTGCAGAGGGCGCAGAGGGGTGAAGGGCGAAGGTGGTACTTCGGAGGTGAAGGGCGCTGTGTGGGAAACAAGGGAGAGTGTGGGGAAGAGGACACGTACCTGGTGATGGTGGAATACGGCATTGGTGTTGACATCATCACTCGCTGCTACTCAAGTTGTCTGGTTGCTGTTCATTGCTGTAGTTGTAGGATAGGCTGTAGAGTAGATAGGGCGCCTGGCGCCATTCACAAGAGAGAGCTAAATTTGGGATTATGCTGTTGGTGTTGCCCTGATGGGCATGGACATTGACTCACGATTCTTCTGTATCATTCTCAATGGGATGGTTACTCGGTTCCATGTGCTATCTGGTTTGGCTTTGAATACTTGGACTTCAGTGTGATTTCGCATTCTGGATTTCTGTGCTTCGTCCATACTCATGTTCCTTGTAATTTGGTATCGGAGCTGGTTTGATCGCCACTTACCTTTGGCACGCTGGCGTTATACAGACTTGGTGCGTTGATGATGCTTCTTCGCAGTGGGTAGTTGTGACGTCAGGCTACACTAGGTGCACGCCCTGGGTAGAGAGGGGTGCACCGGAAGGCTAAAGAAGGCAGTGTATGCCATGGGTTACAGCGGAGTGTTTGATTGGTGATGAGAGCATGCTGATGTGGCATTGGACTAAGGTGGCACTGCATTGCGTTGTGGGCATAGCTACGCCGGACCAAATCCGGACCCCGGACCCCGGACCTCCCGGGCCCTTCCGGACTTCCGGAAAACCGGAATATTCCGGAATATCCGGACCGGTCCGGATCCCATGTCCGGATTGTGGTCCGGATCCCTTATATTAATAAAAAAAAAAAAAAAAAAACGCCTGTACTCCTACTCCTCATCATGAACTTTGCCTCTTGTCTCGTCCTCCTATAGTTTTCCCCCTACTCCTCCCCCTCCTCCTTGTCGCAGCTGTGGTGTAAGGGGTGTGTGTGTATACAGGGCCTAGCTGCGTCATGCGCAAATTAGTGATGTGGCACGTATGCACTTTTTTTTTTACTTTTTTTTTTTTAAGGGGTGTGTGTCTATACAGGGGGGGAGAGAGAGAGAGAGAGAGAGAGAGAGAGAGAGAGAGAGAGAGAGAGCAACGGATCTCCTTGACACCGCTCAGATGGCCCATGCAGGCTATCTGAAGGGTCCTCGCCCCCATGTAGCGCAGACCCCCCCACACATCGAGGCAGGCAGCGATATGAAGTAGAGCATGAGCTGCCCGAATATATACTCAAGATTCGAGTTCAGGTCTGTGTTTCAGCAGTTATGGGTTGCTCGCGTAGCTAGGACCTGTTGGTCTCTGCACGTGAGTCTTAGGGCTTGGCTGCACTACTCACAAAATGTGCAAAATTTGAATGAATCTTCTGCAGAATGTGGAATAATACGCCACCATACGTTTTGTCTTTTGTGCATTTGGTGAGTAGAGGCCCTTGGGCCACTGAACGTATTCCTAAGAAAAGAAAAACGAGATAAGAAAAGAAAAACGAGAAAAGAAAAGAAAAACGAGAGAAGAAAAGAAAAACGAGAAAAGGAAAGCAAAACGACAAAACACAGAAATAGTGACCCATAACCGAGATGCACAGACCTGAATTTGAATATAGACTATATATTCTTTGCCCACGCTCACAAAGTACACATTTGAGTTACACCTCTGCATGACGTAGTGTCCCAGCAAATACGCTGGAGGGATCCTTCGGAAAAGAGGCTGGACACAATGAGGACATTAATACTCAGATGTACAAACCCCCTCGTAGACTTTCTGGGCCGTCTGGATCGTCGGTGAGGGTGGTAAAAAATAAGGCTTTATTTTTTTGGGGTGGCCCAGGGCATGAACAAACACCTGGACCACCCAAAAAAATTTTGGCCATTGGGCTGGGACCCTCACATCCGGACCAAGATCCGGACCCGGACCCCGGACCACGGACCACGGACGGTCCGGATCCCTGTCCGGTGGTCCGGATCGTAGCTATGGTTGTGGGTGGTACCGAAGTCATGACCGGTCATCAAATGCAACATCAGCTCAATTGGTGAGAAATCTGTGGTTGGGGGCAGCTATCTCCAGGTACGTTGTTCCCTTACCTTATCTACTCTCTCAATCTCTTCTTACCGTGAGGAAGTGAGTCCAACTTGAGAGTCCTCTCTTTTGGTGAGGTGTCGTGAGCGCACTACGACAATCTTCCCGGAAGCATACTGGAAGGAGAAAGGGCGGTGCCTCTGAAGGGCCCTGGTCGAAGCACTTGGGTCACAGTCACCATGCCAACCCACAGGGAGTAGTACACGTATGCGATGGCTGCTGTCCTGTTTGGCACTTGCTGCGCTGATAGAAGTTGCTCCGGGTGAGCCAGCCCATGACAGACGCT